GCAGGGCTCGGTGGACGTGAGCATGGGTCACTCGAGCTTCATCTCGCGGCGCCACCTGGAGATCTTCACGCCCCCGGGCGGCGGCCATGGCGCGGCGGCCCCCGAGCCCGCGCAGCCCCGGCCCGACGCGGGCGGCGACTTCTACCTGCGCTGCCTGGGGAAGAACGGCGTGTTCGTGGACGGCGTGTTCCAGCGGCGCGGGGCGCCGCCGCTGCAGCTGCCGCGCGTGTGAGTGCGGGCGGCGCGCGGGCGGGCGGGGGCTGCGGCTGCGGCCTGGGCACCGGCACAGACCCAGACCTGCCAGCCGGGGCCGGGACCCGGACCCCGACCCAGCTCAGACCCAGGAACCCCAGCCAGTACCCACGACCCCGATCCAGCTCAGACTCATGAGCCACAGCCAGCACCTACGACCCCAACCCGGCTCAGACCCGCGAGCCGTGGCCAGGATCCGTGACTCGGACTCAGCGCAGACCCACCAGCCACAGCCAGGGTCCTCGACCCAGGCCCACACGCACCGACAGTGTCAGACCCTGACCTGCGTCTCCTGTTCACTGTAGGGTAGGACCCTGATCCAAGAACACGCTACCCACCACCAGAACCTGTTCCACATCCTGACCACAGTCAAATGCCAGAGCTAGGATCCACCATCCACCAGGAGGGGCAGACCCCATGACTAGGGTGGATCCTGACCCCCCACCCAAGGAACCAGATCACAGTCCCCAACACTCCATCAGGAGGACCTACACACAGCCAGACCCATATTCCCCCACACATGATCCCCTTGGATCTCAACCTTAACTTCTTGCCCAGTCTGACCCTGACCACCAGCCAAGACACAGGTCACCATGCCTGCACATGACCCTCTGGTCCCCCTGTTATGCAGGGCTTTCACATGTGCACATGGACTCTGCATCCTGGCAGTTGGTATATATTCAAAATCAGCAGGTCATCCCCAAGGGAAATGTTAGCTGTATGCAGTGGAAGAACTGCCCCAAACTAAAACCGGTGTCTTCTGACAAGAAGTTGTCTGCTACTTCTTTTCTGTAGTGAAATATTTCCAGAGTGTGGTGGTGTAAGCCACAAGGACTTCTTTTCCTATTGTGTTGGTAGCCTAACAATTGAAAACTGCAACCATTTTTTAAACTGTATGGAACCCAAGGCCTCACACATATTAAGCATTGAGCTACACCCTGGCCCTTTTTCTTTAATTTGAAATTAGATTTATGTTTTCTTTTTTTTTTATGTGGTGCTGAGAATCAAACCCAGTGCCTCCCGCATGCAAGGCAAGCAGTCAACCACTGAGCTACAACCCCAGCCCTTCTTTAATTTTGAGACAGGGTCCCACTAAGTTGCCCAGGCTGGCCTTGAACTTGCAGTCTCCTGCTCAGCCTCCTGAGTAGCTGGGATTACAGGTGTGTGCCACTGCACTCAGTCAAGTATTTTAAAATCTACTCTGAACTATAAACATTTTGGCAAATTGGGTACTTCGAATATAGCTTTTTAAGTTTTTTAATGGAAAGGTAATTTTGTTATTTAGAAATTATTACAAGGTCATATAGAGTGTTAAGTGAGCCTTACAGGTAAATGTCAATCATGCTACAAAATAATTCAGCATGGTTTGATAAAGTCATTTGCTCTGCTTGAAAACATGTTTGCTGTCTAGGAAATGTTCATTATCCCGATAGGCTTGTTTCTTGGTCAGTGCAGGTACAGCTTTTGTCCACACTCGGGAACGTTTAACTGCTCTGATCTTTGGAAATGCTAGTAAAAGCATTGCTTCTCTTAAGTCTCTGGTGTGTATGTTTCCGTTGCTTAAGAGGAGCCTTGAAGAGGAGTACCAGTTTCTGTTCCTTAATAGTCACTTTATAAAGAATATTTTCTTTTTTAAAAAAATTTTATTGGTGCCTTATAGTTTGATGTACTAGTGGGATTCATTGTTACATGTTAAGAATGTTATATTCAAGCCAAAATGTTTTCTTGTATTTATACCATAGACAGCATCAAATTAATGGTAGGGGCCTAATGGCCATCTTTTCTTTGGTGCTAAAACATATAGCACCACTAACTGCTGCCCTTCAATTGTTTACAAAAAAATGCATTTTTACCTACTTGAGATTCTGAGGCAGGAAGGTCACCTGGACAATATATCATAGCAAGAGCATTTCTCAAAAAAAAAAAAAAAATCCATGTTCAACAAAGGAAATTGTGTGCTTTTTTTGAGGATTTAGGGCTTTTTAAGGAAAATATTTTACTTTTCAGCCAAACCCATTTGTGTTGAATTCTACATGTGCCAACGTGCTGAACATGGAAATAAATTGACCTTTCCGTGAGGAAGCGAAATTCAGGTTTTGTGAAAGGGTAGAGAGCCTTGCCATGGAGATGAGTAGGAAGCAGGTGAGGTGGAGACTGGATCTCTGGCCTTTGCCTCCAGCATGGCCTTGAACTTCTTTCTGGTGGGCTTGGGAACCAATGCCTATGCTTTTGGGACCGGCCTGGTTCACAGAGTCAGTCTCTGCACTGTGTGGGATAGATGGCTAATTTGTAGGGTGTTTCAGCACCTCCCTATTTTTAACACATTATTTGCAAGTTTTTGGTGTAGAGTAGTAACATAGGTTAAGGGAATAAACTGAAGAGACAGTTGGTACCAGTGAAACGTAGGTACATTGTTTTAAAATCTTTTTTTCTTGAATTTAAACTTAGTGTTTAGGTTGATGTTCAAAGTTTTTTTTGTGTGTGTGTTTCCATACTAGGAAGTAAATGTGGGCCTCACAAATGCTAGACAAACTACACCCCCGGTTCTAATTTATTTATTTTGTGGCACCAGGGACTGAAGCCAAGGGAGCTCTACTGAGCTATATGTCCACTCTTTTTTTTTTTGGTACCAGGGATTGAACTCAGCGGTACCCGACCACTGAGTCACGTCCTCAGCCCTATGTTGTATTTTATTTAGAGACAGGGTCTCACGGAGTTACTAAGTGCCTTGCTGAAGCTGGTTTTGAACTCGAGACCCTCCTGTCTCAGCCTTCAGAACAACTGGGATTACAGGCTGTACTGGATATTTTAAGTGTGAACATGTGCCTTTTGCTAGGTGGTTGGTGAGCTCTATGCCCACTGTGGATGGGTGTGTGAGAGAAGGCCAGCATGCGGGGCTTTCCAGAAGACAGGATTCTGCAAGTCTTTGATTTGACCGTGTGTGAGGACTGTGTAAGAAAACAGTGTTTTCCTTGCTGAGAGCCTGACTCATGGGAAGCACAGGTGTTCCTGGGGTTGGGGTCTGTGGGGTGTCCTCGGCTATCTGGACAGGTCTCTTGGAGATGGACAGGTGGATGGTCCTTACAGGTGTGGCTGGGCAATAGCCTGACACTCCAGAAGGTGGAATTCAGACTGAGAGACTCTGGGGCAGGTTGTGGAGCAGCCAGATAGTGAGGTTTGTCTGGGCCTGGTGGAGGAGCATTTTCCTTCTGTCAGGAGAGTGAGGAGTATGTTCTTTTAGAACAGAGTCCGTGTCTAGAGACCAGGTTTGGCACCTGAGACTAGAGAAGTTTTAGGAAGATCAATTGGGTAGGAAAGTTTGGGTTTGTTGGTGTTGCTGTGGCAGCAAACTAAGTATAATGTATAAATAGAAATAAACAAAGCAAGAAAAAAATTTTTTTTTAACAGTTGTGTATACTTTGGAAATACCAAACAAATTTGCCACTCTTTTTTTTTTTTTGGTACCAGAAATTGAATCCAAAACTGTCTCAAAATAAAAACCTAAAAAGGGTTGGGATGTAGCTCAGTGGTAAAGGCTCCTGGTTTCAATCCCTAGTATCAAAAAAAAAAAAAAAAAAAAAAGGCTACAGTATATATTCATTTGGAAATTGATACATTTTTATCTTTCATACTAAAATATCTAGTAGCCAAACATAAATAGGATAAATTGAATTCACCATCTTTGACTTGTAGATGTTGGGAACACAGAGCAGCTATCCTGAGGTCTGTTCTCATAAGTTTAGTCCCAACAACAGGCCTAGGTCTCTTTTCTACTCATAGTTTTTGCAGTGATAAGACTCAGTTCATTAATTTTTTTTTTAAACATCTCATTGTTAGACCAGTGTTTTATTTATTTATTTTTATGTGGTACTGAGGATTGAACCCAGTGCCTCACATGTGCTAGGCAAGCGCCCCATCACTAAGCCACAAACTCAGCCCTCAAGTCATTCATTTTAATGTTTAATTAACGAGTAGTTTAATGCATTTTAGATTTAAATAATTTTGATTTCTAACATTTTGAGAAATAAGCCTGTGTGACCCATATATAACATGTATTCATTTGTGCACCTCCTGAGTTACAGTGAGAATAGGCTTCTGGAAAGACTGGGGCCACATTACAGTTAGCTCCAGTTAACTGAGGCTTTCCAGTTAACTTCTCTGGGCTCTCTATAGTCCCATTGTTCATGACTGGGATAGGTGTCCTCACCATGTGACACAGTTGCACCATGTTTGTGCCCTGCTGGATATCACGGTCTGCATCTGTTTGGTGCTTAGGGCCTGTTGGAAGAAGCCTTGAGGATCCTTTGCACAACTGAGGGTCACTGGTACCTCTGGCAGCCTCCCTTCTGCTTTTGTCCAACCCGCCTTCTCAGCCTCAGTAGAGTAGTAGGGAAAAGGGAAAGGAAGAGCTAGTTTGAATGTAGTGTCCAGTTTGTGGTCTAAGTTAAGGGCTGCTTCTCATTAATGCTTTACACCTTTTGTACTGTTTTTGATTCTTAAACTGCTTTTTTTTCCCCTTTGATACTAAGGATTGAACCCAGGCCTCACAGTCTACCAGTGAGCTACATACCTGGCCCTTTTATTATATTTTTGAGATGATCCCACTTACTAAGTTGCTACCTCCTTAATTGCTGGGATTACAGGCTTGTTTTGATATATAATAAACCACAGATACTTTGTTTCTTTCTGGGAGGCCTGAGGCTGAATCCTTCTGCAGGCCTTAAATGTCACCTGGTGCTTTCTAGGTGATGCAGTGGTTCTGGACCCCTTAGAATGCTTTTAGACTCAAGGAAGCAGGAAGGTAGGGGACTTCTCACTGTTTATAGCACTTTCTAAGGGGTTCCCATCATCCTCTTGTTCTCATTCATCTCAGGTGACCTTTTTCTCCAGTGGTCTTCCAAGGCAGGGATAAAGGCTGTGTACATGCTTGTACCCCCTGAAGTTGGTGCAGCACCATCACCATCACCACTGTTACC